ACCTGCCCAGCCAGGCAGGCAGCCCAGCCAGGTAGGGCACCCGCCAGCCAGGCAGGCAGCCCAGCCATGCCTGTCATGCTTCACCAACAACGAGGCAGGCTCGAGGTTTGGTTTTTAGGCACGATTTTTTGTGTTTTGAACTCGGAGTTTGGTTTTAAGGCACGAATTTTTGTTTTTAGGCTCGAAGTTTGGTTTTTACGCACGAATGCATACATTTTGACTCGAATTTTCATGAACAAAACTGAAATAATAAACACTTACCATTGTATCATCCCAAAACATTTGAAGCAACCCTTTTGGAATCTCTGCCCAGTCAAGTGTGATCGGTATTTTACGAGTTAGGATGCCAATTTGTGTGGAATATTTGCTGCGCCATTGCTTAAATGCTTTTGTTGGACCCTAACCTTTCTCTTTCCCGATGCCTTTTGTGTACTGCTGGTTTTCAGTTGACGTTGCTTCTCCATTCGGCCGTTTGAATCTTGTACAAACTCGGATACAATATCATCCACAATAGGGGGGGCACATTCAGCTGACATCTCATAAGCGTCAAACCTGCGCCGCAACTCATCATGAGCTTGGTCTTCTGGTTCGCCCAAATCTTGCTCCTTATTCACATCATACAACTCGTCACCAGATTGAGAACTACCATGGTCTTCATCATCCATAACCTCTGCGTGGTGAATGTCTTCATCACGACCCATTTTATGTACACACCTACCACCACAAGCAACACAAATAATTAGTACACAAAACATGTTTACAAGCTGAAAATGCTAATACAAGAACGAATTGAACAAAATATGTACAGAATGGCAAAAACTGAGCTTCTACCATTCCTAACTTCATTATTTTCATACCTATCACACAACTATCCTTGTAACAACTCACATTAGGTATACTAATAAGTGTTTAAAATATGAAAATGCGATAAATGAAATGATTCCATGCTAATACAACAACGAAGTGAACAAAATATGTACAAAATGGCAAAAAAGGGCTTCTACCTTTCCCAACTTCGTTAATTTCATTCCTAGTTCACATCTAATCCTTCTACCAACTCACATTAGGTATACAAAACATGTTTACTAGTTGAAAATGCGATAAAGGTAATGATTTCATGCTAATACAAGAACGTAGGTAGAAAAATATGTACAAAACGGCAAAAAAGAAGATTGACATTACGATGCAAAAAACAAATGTACCTCATTCGAGTATTCCCTCATTGTGGTCTGCTCGAATATAATTTGCATCCTTGTCTACATCATTTGATACGTCAAATCTAGGGCAGTGAAAGGGGGCGAATCATCAAACGCATCATATTCGTCCTCGTCTTCGACATCTCCAACCCCTAAGATTCTTCTCTTGCTAGCAAGGACGATGGACCATTTAGGATCGGCTGGGTCGGTGACATAGAACACTTGCTTAGCTTGAGATGCAAGGATGAATGGTTTCCAAACTATCCCGCAGGTGGCCAAGGTCTACAAGAGTGAAGTCATTGTGTCTGATGTTGCGCCTAATATTATCGACCCTTTACATTTAAATAGACCTACCTTGAACTCACGATAATCTAGTTCCCATATTTCCTGAATTCGTCCGTAGTATGATAATTGTGCGTCAACCGGTGATGTATCCTTCGCACTGGCAAACTCTGTTGATGAAGCCACAAGCGTGACACCACTATTTTGAGTCGATGAGGATTTCTGATCACGATGCTCAGTCCAGAATGTATACCCATTAATGTCATATCCCTCAAAAAGAATAAACATCTTCCTTTGGACCATAAGCTAGCCACTTTATAGTATCAGAGACACTCTCATCCAATTGACGATTGACTCGATCATGGAACCATGTCACAAACATCTTATTATGCAACTGCATTAGTCCCCTTTCCCCTTTTGATGGAAATTCCGCACGCAAACTATCCATGTGCTCTTCTAAATATGGGTGAACCTCCGCAACATGATGAAGCACAAATAAGTGAGCTTGCAAGAACTGATCATGAGTAGGTGAGATCCGTTTCGACCCGAGTGTGCCATGACCATCAAGTCTCCCTTCATGTCGGGAAGTGGGAAGCCCAATTGGTTCGGCAACGGCAACATACTCCGCCACGAAATTACCAATCTCCTCCGCCACAATCCCTTGAATCATACTACCTTCTGGATGGGCTGGATTCCTGACTTTATGTTGTAATGTACCCATGTGTCTTTCAAAAGGATAGCACCACCTCATAAAGACTGGACCGCACATCTTGATCTCACGAACCAAATGAAGGACCAAATGCACCATGATGTCAAAAAATGATGGTGGAAAATACATCTCAAATTTGCACAATGTTACAACTACATTCGCCTGGAGAGCATCAAGTGTAAAAGGATCGAGCACTTTGCTGCATATAGTGTTGAAAAACGAACAAAGGCTCGTAATAGCTTCTCTCACGTGCTTTGGTAAAATACCACGAATGGCAATCGGTAGGAATACTTGCATCATCATGTGACAATCATGAGATTTCATACTAGTCAACTTCAATTCCCCATTCAAGGAAACGAATCTTTTCATGTTTGACGAGAAACCAGAGGGAACCTTAATGTCATACAAACAAGCACAGAACTTCCATTTTTCGTCCTTTGACAATGTGTAGCAAGCTGGAGGTAAATACACCTTTTCATCTTTCTTCTTTGATACACCGATGCCCTTTCCTTTACGCTCCCCCTTACGTTTATTGCCACCATCTTCCCTTACCTTTTCCATTACCATTGCCTTCCCTTCCTTTGGCTGCACCCACAATTCCGGACGAACACCCCACGCTTCCAAATCTAATCGGGCGCTCTTCCCATCCTTTGTCTTGCCATGAATACCCATTATTGTCCCAACAACTGCATCACAAACATTCTTCTCTATATGCATCACATCGAGACAATGTCTAATATCATGTTCTTTCCAGTACTCAAGCTTCCAAAAGATCGATTCCTTTTTAAATAAGGCATATGGGTCTAAAGGTTTCGATGTTTTACCAAAAACAGTTGGTATACCCTTCACTCGACCATACACCTCATGTCCACTCATTGGCCTAGGTGCAACCCCTTCTTCAACTTTCCCATTGAAGGCCTTTTTCTGCCTACGATATGGGTGATCGCGCCGAAGAAATCGTCGGGTCCTCACGTACACATCTTTGCCGTAGTGTTCAAGGTACACGTTTGGTGTGTCATCGATACAAACAGGACATGCTTTATGCCCTTTGTTCTTATACCCGGACAGGTTGCCATATGCGGGAAAATCATTAATGGTCCACATCAGGGCTGCACGCATTAGGAACATCTCGTTCTTATGGGCATCATAAACAGAAACTCCTTCGTCCCACATCTTTCTCAAATCATCAACAAGGGGCTTAAGGAAAACATCAATGTCGTGTCCAGGTTGCCTTGGACCAGTTATTAAAAGAGACAGCATTACGTATTTTCGTTTCATACACAACCACGGAGGCAAGTTGTAGATCACTAAAAGTACCGGCCATGTGCTATGTTGGGTACTCAGAGTGCCAAATGGATTCATACCATCGGTGCACAACCCAAGCCTCAAATTTCTCACTTCATCACCAAATGCCTGAACTTCATATCGATGTTCTTCCAAGCCGGAGAGTCAGCCGGATGCTTCAGCAAACCGTTTTTCTTTCTTCCCTCTGCATGCCATCTCATGTTCTTAGCATCTCTTGGTATTGAAAATAGACGCTTGAACCTTGGAATGATGGGAAGATACCATAACACTTTGGCAGGAATTCCCTTCATACCAGCGTTGCAGTTCTTTCGCTTGTAACGCGACTGACCACAACGTGGACATTCCTCCAACTCTTCATATTCATTTCGATAAAGAACACAGTCATTAGGACATGCATGTATCTTCTTATACTCCAAACCAAATGGACACATGAGTTTCTTTGCATAATAGTACGACTTAGGAAGTTCATTCTCATCAGGCAACATGTCACATAACACAGTCAACAAAGAAGTAAAACTAGTGTCGCTCCAATTATACTTTGACTTAATGTTAAAAAGTGTTAGCACGGCTGATAGTTTGGTGTATTTTTTTCGACCCGGGATACAAAGGCTTTTTGGCAGCCTCTGATAACGACTCAAATACATCACATCGGTCACCAAATTCACCTTCAACATTATGCATCATCTCATCCAAGTGATCACCACCACCGTCCTCGATCTCATCCCCATCCTCATCTCCATCTCCACCACCATCACTACCATAATCATCTTCCGCACGAATCTCGGCTTTGTTATCGTGAGTATCATTCCCAACAACATTCACCCTATACGATCCCTGTTCACCGTGCCAAACCCACACATGATATTGAGGCCTAAACCCATGACATACCACATGATCCCTTATTGTATCAACACTGTCGACCATTGTCACATTATTACAGTTGACACAAGGACAATAAAGGTCATTCACACCCGTTTTGATCTGATATTGTGAAGCACTCTCGCAAAACTCTTGGACCCCATTAAAGAAATCCAACGTATCACGTCTACCATACATCCAACCGCGATCCATCAACGTTTTCAATTGCCTTTACGCAAACCAACACATATTAAATAATGTAAAATTGCAACATATAATCAAAGTACATTGTTTGTATTTATATCGTTAATGCATATAGTGTAAAAATGAATGCTCCCAAAAAGGTCCTTATCACTCCAACCTAACCCATCCTTGAACGTCTAATCTCACTAGTGAATGTATGTCAACTTTCCAATTTTCAGGAAAATCCGGCAGCATTTCGCCCTAGTTCTCCAAGTACACAATGTAGGTAAATAATTACCTACATATGCACCCAGAGAACATGGAGACGAAATGCTAGGCCGAGATATTCCTTAAAATCGAAAAAGAGACATACATTCACTACCTAAGTGAGATTAAACGTCCAAGAACAGTCCCAACCGGGGACTATTCAAGTCTTCCTCCTAATGAGAAAGACTTGAACGGGTATCTAGGCAAATGATGATGCAAGCATTCAAAAATTTCAATTTGTTTGACATTTAACAAAACACAAGTTAATTCATTCATACAATGCTAATTGGACTACCTACAAGCAAACTAAGCTCACTTACAATCCATATTCAATAATTCATCACTTTTTAGCTACTCAAATTCAAACAACTTATAACATTATACAATTAAGGTAAGAATTAACATTTTGTATACGAATAATTATTAAAATAATTAACATAAAATATGATTAACTAATATTGAAACCCTAAAATTTGGGAAATTGTTAAGAACATGTAAATAAGGTAGTAAGATTAAGTAAGCATGAACTCACCCTAATTTGTGAGGGACAAAGAGAAGGAATGTCTGTGGTGGTGGTGTTTCGGTGTGAAGGTGAGAAGGGCAGCAGGGTCCTCAAGCAACGTCGCAGCAGCAAGGGTCGTGGTGAGGCCGAGTGTGGTGGCTAGCAGCGTCAATAAGCAACAGCAGCAGCAAAGCGTCCACAAAGGAAATGCTTGCTGTGGTGGTGGTTGTCGCGGCGGGTGGAGGCGGCGACAGTGCAGGGTGTGGAGTCCAACAACGCCAATGGTGGTGGGTGCAACGGCTTTTGGCAGGTTGTTGCTAGTTGTTGTGGTGGGGTTAAGTGACGGTGGTTATATATGGTGGTTATGGTGGAGTGTAGGTGTGTGAGAGTGGAAGTTGAAGGGAAGCAATGGTGGAAGCGAAGAAATGGAGGGGAATTCAGAGCAAGGAATACGTTGAAATGGAGGGGAAAAATGGAAGTAAAGCCGGGTTTTTTTTTTTTTTTGAAAAAGGGAAGCGGTTCAGCCTAAACCGCTTCAAATTGGTTTTTGGAAGCGGTTCAACCTAAACCGCTTCCAATTCTTCCTTTTTTTTTTAAAAACAAATTTGGGCGGGTATTTGTAAGGAATTGGAAGCGGATTTGATAAACCGCTTCCAATTATTGGCTTCCAATTTGGTTTTTTCTACTAGTGATCATCTGCACACTATTTGGCAAAGGAATATCCAAACAATCAGCAGATAAATCATTAGAAATGGAAGTGAGGAGCGCATCCTCGCCCTCAACATTGAAGACATCCTACACTATAGGATCAATGATATCAATGGAACACAAGGAATGAGTGTCAACAGGATATTTCATGGAATCATAGATGTTATACACAATTTCTTGCCCATCAAACTCCATAGTTAAAGAACCAGTAAAAACATCAATTTTTGTCCTAGCAGTTTTCAAGAAGGGTCTTCCTAACAAGATGGGAACTGCTTGTCTATCATGTTCCATATCAAGCACATAAAAAATCAGCAGGAAAGATTAGTTCATCAACTTTCACAAGCACATCTTCCACTACTCCCTTAGGGTAAACATTGGACCTATCAGCTAACTGAATCACTACCCCAGTTTCATGCAAGGGCCCAAGTTCTAAAGATTTGAAAAGGGAATATGGAATAACATTGATTGAAGCACCTAAATCCAACATAGGTCTATGAAATGTGGTGTCCCCTATTGTAACTGGGACAGTAAACATACCAGGATCACTGCATTTTTCAGGGAGCTTCTTCTGAAAGACTGCAGAAACATGAGCACTCACTTTCACTTTTTCTTTTCCTCCCAACTTGTGCTTCCTCTTTATAGTACAAAGCTCTTTCATAAATTTAGCAAATCTAGGAACACTTTTTATTAAATTCAAAAGGGGAATGTTTACCTCACATTTGCTGAATGTTTCATAGATATCTTTGTCTTTTTCGTACCTTTTCGTCTCTTTCAACGCTTCAGGGAAAGGTGGTGTGGGTTCATAAGAGGGAAAAGTTAAAGGGTTTGCAACAGCTTCATGTTCCACTTCCTCCTCGTCAGCTCCAATCAAGTCTTCAGCCCTCTTGGTTGCAATTTCAGTCTCTTTCAGCTCTTTGACACTCCTCAGTGTAATCGCGTTGGCTTGTTGCTTAGGATTCAACTCCGTTTGAGATGGAAGTTTTCCCGAATCCTTAGCTTCAAGTCTGCTCACCGCACTTGAGATTTGACTCACTTGATTCTCCAAATTCTGAATACTGGATTTGGTTTCTTGCTGAAATTGCACCATGTTTTGCTGCATAGTAGATACATTAGAAGTTAGTGATCTAATCATTTCTTCAGTTGACATATTATTCGAATTTGAGCTTTGGCCTTGAGGTTTGGGTAATGGTGCCCTATATTGCTGATACTGTTGCTGGCCTTGAGCATTTTGTTGTTGTTGGTTCCCTTGGGAGTTCCCATATCTCAAATTTGGATGATCCCTCCATCCTGGATTGTATGTATTTGAATAGGGATCATAACTTCTCTGAGGACCTTGCCCTTGGAAACCCATTGCATTTGCTTGCTCATTCTGCTCCTCTTGTAATTGAGGACATGCATCAGTGGGATGTCCCATGGAGGTGCATATACCACAAGAATTCAGTTGCTGCGGATTCCTTGAGTTCACCATGAACTCACGCATCATAGAAGTCAAATCAGCTACTTGACTTTCTAACTCAGACGTATTTGAATTTGCTGCATTCACCCGGCGCGTGGGAGTTCTCTGACTGAATTGCCTAGAATTCTCTGCTAGCTCTGCAATCAGCCTAGTTGCATCTCCTGGAGTTTTATTCACTAGCCCTCCTCCACTTGCTGCATTCACCATCCTCAAGTCATCATCAGTTAGACCTCCATAGAAGTATAGGATGAGGTCTTGATCGGAATACCCATGGTAAGGACAACTAGCACACAATCTCTTAAATCTCTCCCAATACTCATACAAGGATTCATCTTCCTTCTGATCCACATTGCTGATAGCTTTCTTAAGGCTCGCAGAAATAGTGGCTGGGTAGTACTTCTCAAGGAAACACTTCTTCAAATCTGCCCAATTTGTTATGCTACCTGGGGGAAGATAGTAAAACCAATCCTTCGCTGCATCCTTGAGAGAGAAAGGAAATGCTCTCAACTGAATTTGCTCGTTAGTCATCCCAATCGGTTTCATGCTGGTGCATACCACATGAAATTCTGCCAGATGTTTATTCGGATCTTCACCCTTCATGCCATGGAATGCCGGCAATAGATGTATTAGACCAGATTTGATCTCAACATTAGTACCTTCCTCCAACTGCTGATATGCAATGCACAACGGCTGTTGGTTCAAGTTAGGGGCTGTAAGTTCCCTTAGAGTTCGATTGTCAGCCATCTCCTCTTCTTCTTGAATATTGAAGGTGTATGTTGATTCACTGGGGGTTGTTCTTGCCTCTTTTCGCAACCTGGAAATATTTCTTTCAATTTCTGGATCAAACTGCAAAACTTCTTTGTTAGCAGAACGGGTACTTATCATACCCTAGAGAACAAACAAAGAGAGTAACTAAGAACAATCCTAAAATAAATTCTACTAAGATAAACAATTAAAAAGTAACGCCTAGTTCCCCGGCAA